CCCGGCCGCGCCCGCATCCTCACTTACTTTTGGTAGCAGCGATGAGGTTCTTCCCGTCCTTAATGAGCTCTTTGATGAACTTGTTAGTCCTCTCGAGCTCCGCTTCGTGCGCACGGATCCTCTCCCGGAACCACGGGCTGTCCAGGTAGCAGTCGCTGAACTCCAGGGGCTGCAGCCCCATGACTGCGGGCGAGCGGCGCGAGCGGCCCCGAAGCGGGCTCAGAGGCGCGGCCAGGTGCGGGGCGGCGCGGGCAGGAGGCCCGGGAGGCGCTAGCAGTGCGAAGCGCAGGGCGCGCACATCTCCGCCGGCGAAGGGATCCCCACCGCCCCGCGGCGCCCCGATCGCCGCCAGCCCCAGGCGCCTTCCACCGGGCCCGCGCTCCTCCTCTCCTCTCCTCCCCTCCGCCCGGCTTCGCTACCCTTCCCTTCCCCGGACGCCTCTTTCTTCTCTTCCCCACGCGCAGTCGCCCCTCCTCTTCCTTCCGAGGCCTCCGCGCTGTAGAACTGCGTCCCTCTGCTCTCCTCCACCCCCGGGCGCCCGCCCCTCCCCTCTCCTTCGGCTCCCGGCTTCGGGGTGACTCACAGGCAGCTCCCCGAAGTCGGGAACCGGAGGAAGGGGCGCTGTGAAGCAGTCGTCGACCCCCGCAGCTGGACCCCAGAACTCCGGCGGGCTGCTGGCGAGGATTGGCGCTTTATCTTACGGCCCCAGGCGCAGACCCTAGCGGCCTCCCGTCCCACCCACGCGTCCGGTTTGCAGCTGGAGCTCCTTGTGGCTCCACCTGAGCTCGCCTGCAGCCCCGCGGCTCCACCGTGTGATCCGCACCGCCTGCCTGGGGAAGACTGAGTGGCCAGACCGCAGAAAAGTTGATTCCGCTGTATTCAGAGCCTGCGATTGACTTGAGTAGGGAGAGGCGAGCTTTATTATGCTAAAAATAACCGGTAGAAAACAGACACCAGGATATATGTGGTTTTCACCGGGCGGAGGTGATGTTCAAATTCATGTCAATGCACCCGGTTCTGAACGCAACTGCCGCCCCCCTGAAACGTTAAGATATTTTAAATTATTGAAATGTGTGCCTAAAAGGAACATTAATTCATTCGGGTGGCTTTTCTTAATAGCAACTAAAATTATTAAGCAATTATTACGTGTCAGCTGCGCACACGCCTGTAATTCCAGCACAAAGGGCAAAGGGGGCTGAGGCAGGAGAATCACAAATTTGAGCCAAGTGTAGGCAATTTAGTGATTTAGCTAGACCTGGGGATGTAACTCAGTG